GAATGTAATCGATTAGTAATTGAATACCATATTGAAATTAAAAGGAAAACACTGCTCTAATTTGTCATTGTCGAGCAAAATTTTTCCTTTTTTACTCTCTGCACTATCCATGTTGATATTAATATTGGAACTTTTAAGATACAAAATACAAAATAAGTCATTTTCTATTAAAAAGAGACTATAAAGTTCTAAACGTGTAGATGAAGTGATAAATACATTGAAAATTAGGGGTGCAAACAAATCAATTTCAATCGAATTATTTGTCAATCTACTCAATCAAACTCAAGTGCAAATGTAGATGGAGTTATGAGCATTAACTAGGGTTAAAAATGCGTCGTAGTTTAATCACATGATTCGCGAACTTTCTCGATCAAAACTCAAACTTATATTCACAGTGATTAAGCTGGAGTTGAGTTCAAACAATTTGACGAGTTCAAACTTATATATTTTAGCTTGAATCGAATTCCAGTGAGGTACTATTTGAGTTTTGCTAGATTCTTCTACCCCATTCGAGTCACTGTTCAATATTTCATCCACTCAAGTATCTTATTGGCATATACAGTTTGTGCAACTAAGACATAAAAAATGAATACAAAGTAGAAAAAGATTAAGGAATTGGGACCAAAGTAGCCATGCGTGTGACCACCAAAAGGGTCCAAGAAAACCCTCCCTTTAGCTTCCCTGCTCAAAGCAAATACTACTGCAGGCTTAAACAGAGAAAAGGGTCTGCACGTAGAGTGACCTGACGCTGACGCTGGAAAAAGTGAACCCTCCGTACCAAAAGAGGGCAAAATATATGAGACGAATAAAGCACCACAAGAGACATTGGAAATAAACTTGTGCACGATTTGGCATAATTCATCTGTCTAATTTACTTCCAAAGTTCTAACGTCAATTATGCCAAAAGGGAATTCTTGAATGTTAGTAAATAGTAGTAACATTGCCCAAGTAATAAATCTCAATTCAGGCTCTCTCTCTCTCTTTCACAGACATTCACACCCAACAAGACAAACAAACACATGCATTTACCACAGTACAATTGCCAATCATGGTGCTAAATCTAAAAGGGCGAAAGGGCAAGAAAAAGTTAGTGAGGTTGATGATGGTTTTTGTTTTACTTTTCCTAGCCAATCCTCTGATTAACCGTGCGATTGCTGATCCCTTCTTGTTTTTCATCTTTCAGGCGAAAAAAGCACGTCAAGCGTTTTACTTTGTCTACGTGTAGTAAATAACAAGGCTTCATTGTAAAAGTTGATGAGCTTTTAGTATTAGTAGTCGAGCATGTTACTAAAAAGTAAGGAGAATTTAATTAAAAAGTTAATTAGTCTTTTTAAGCATGTAGTAACATAGTTCAATTTAAAATACTCGTTGGTCCAGGTAATTTAAAGAACTATTTTTTAGAATTTGTGTAGGAAGTGGTGGAGTGATCCAATAGTCTATTGCTAACTAGTGTGGCCTTTAAATCTTGCTAGCTCTATAAACTTATATATATGTATATATGTATATATCAAAAAGAAGAAAACAAATTGCCCATGAAATTTGACTATCTTTGCTGCTAGAAAGACTGTTCTTGTTGCCTTTTACATTTCCATTTTCCCCACACGATTTTTCATTTTCTCATCATGATTTATGACATTTTGACACTTGAATGGAAGGAAATTTCTTGCCAACCTACTCAAGGGTATATTTTTTAGCCTTGTTTGGACACAACCAATGTTCCCCTCCCCCCAAAAAAAATTCTTGTAACACAGACATATTTTCTGATCACTTTTTATTTTTCTAATCACAATTTTATCACATATACATTGCATCTTAAAAAGTGGTTAATAAAAGCAATATAATCGCAGATGATTAGAGAAGAAAAGGAGCTTTTGCAGAATTTGAAGCTTCATATTGTTGACTATTTGACAATAGAAAGAGAGCGTGCAAATTGTATTCATATCTTTAACCGTGCTTGCATTTGAAGCTTCTTCACATTTATCCCAAATGACTAATACCTCCATAAGCCAAATCCACATGTTTTCCTCCGAAACTAACAGGGAGGCAAAGCTACTTGTAGAAAAAAAAAAATTAGGTGTATATATATATATATATATATACATATGACAAACCATCAAAATCATCTGTGGATTTTTTGAGGGGCCTCTCTAGGTTCCATCTGCCTATTTTCTACAGAATTTCAATGAACCCAAATTTCTTTTGAAAGGTTTAACGAATTGCAGTGACACAAATGTACCTTAATTTATTGAATCTTCTTCACACTAGAATAAATGCCCTTTTGAAGACTTTTCCAAATTATACAAATAATTCTCCATTATCTCATTCCACAAAGTTCATTTGAATAGTAAACGTTGCTACGATTACATACAATAAGAAGGTTTAAGAAGTTAGGTATGGAGGGACTGCTGAGATAGCTAGGGTCCTTTGAACATTGGGAAACCAAAGCCACTAGAATGACAACAGTAATTGTCTAAAATAATTATACGTCTCTTCGGATGGCCTATGGATACCTGGATGTGAGATCTTCAACTGCAATTTCTTGCTTGACTAGAAACCAAAAACCAAAAACCAAAAACCAAAAAATAGGAGTTGGAAGAAGCGCGATGATGAAACGCGCACTGCTGGTAATTGCTGCTACTTGCAAGTAGAAGAATGAAAAAACATGAGTGAGGCAATAAACAAAGTTCAGACATATCAACTAGCACCCGAAAAGAAACTACAAGTTCTCATGGACTAAGTATTAATTAAGTCTCTGCCCTGATTCTCTTTCAAAAGATTTTCGATTCCAAAAGGCCCTGGCAAATGTCATTGAATGCATGCAACTGAAACCAAGGAACTAGTGTTAGTGTATATATGCATATGATACAGCAAGATTCATTGAAGGCCATTTGAAGAGAGAGAGAGAGATAGAGATAGAGGGACTTGTGGACTAGTAGTAGTCATACTGTACACAGTTTTCTTTTTTTTTTCCTTATCTTATCTTTAATGGAACTAGATAGATAGATAGATAGTAATAGTAATAGTACTAGTACTAGTACTAGGGAAGGAGTGTGTTCCAAGACACAATGATTACAAGGGGTCTTGGGGGGAGCAGAAAGTGCTGGCGTGGAAGTAGCTATGGAGAGGAAGAAGGGAATAATATGGGAAGAACGTGGGGGCTTGACCGAGGAGGAGAGGAGGAGCTAGGTTCCCATACCAACCTAAGGCAATTGAACCAAGGAAAGAAAAGCTAAGAACCCTTTCTATCATCACACTCAAGACACATACAACATACAACAACAAACAACAAACAACATGAATGAATATGATACATCACAAACACACACTAACGCACTTTTCTTTCTGTCCATCTCTCTCTCTCTCTCTCTCTCTTTCTGATCTTTTCTGCTTTGTTAATAAATATTGCTGTCTTTGGTCGGTCGACAATCTGTGTGTTGTGTGCTCACTGTGTTGTGTTTGTGTTTCCCCCAACTTACCAATTCTTACTCTCTCTCTCATCCTGCCGCAGCAGCACTTACACAATGTAATTATACGCTTTGAAGTTTGGACCAATCACAAACCATCATGCTTCCTTCAAGATTATACAACAAAACCCCATATCACTGCATAGCATAGCGGTAAAAAAACAAAAAAAAAAAAAAAATTTTCCTTCTTTGAGATTCCCAATGTAGAGCTTACTATCAAATCCCATTTGATAAAAGATAGCACTACTTTACTTGAGAAAGGGTAATTAATTAATTGATCATAATATAACTAAATCACAGTCCAACTAAAACTTTTTCTTTTCCTTTTCACAATGACATATGGCCGAAAGTTTTCTTACACGAAACTTGACTAATTAGAATACTTTTTCTACAACCATCATTCAATATATAGGATTAACATTTTATATACTGACAGTATATATGTATATACTTTTATCATTAGATGACATATATATCTGAATTTAAATTTAAACTTTAAATTTTATACTCCCTTCGTCCCACTTTGATAGTCCTGTTTTTCTTTTTCATTTGTCCCAAATTGTAGTCCACTTTCCAATTGAAGAGTGTAGTTATTTTTTAATTTTCTAAAATACCCTTATTCAATGTAAGTTGTTATTACTATAAACTATCTTATTTAATATAGATTGTTATTGAATATAACATATCCCATTTAATGCATTTAGATTTTCCAAAACACAGTGATACCATATGAAATGCCAATTTTTTATTCTTTCAAGCTTATTTATATCAATTCAAGTTCCCACAAACCATCAATTCAAGTTTTACGAGTAATTAATATAAAGTTGTACTCTATTTAATGTAAGATATTTTAGAAAAATAGCAATCTAAATTTATTTTTTCAATAAAGTTAAGTACTTTTTCTTAAACTGTGTGAAAAAAAAAAAACTAGAGCTATCAAAATGGGACAGAGAGTATATGTTTCATGCATCCAATTAACTATATAATAGCGTATACACTATCAATCAATATATATATAATTAAGTACTCGTACATATTTATACTGCTCTAAGGGAATGTCTATACTATCCTATAGTAATTATGTCCGAATATGAATATTGTGTCAGAACATGAATACGGGAACCAAAAAGAAATTCGCTACTAAGGCTGATAGCTACAGAAATGGATCGTGAGGGAGAAAAGAGTATGCCGTAAGTAGAAAGGAAAGTAAGACCAACAGTACTAGCACACCTCCTCTATATATGTTAGGAGTGGAGGGAGGTGGAAGACTATTGAGGGCCCATAAGAAAACAAAGGAGCCAAAAGGATACAACCAATAAAGCATACAGGAGAGAAAGAAGGGAAAGCTTATGCTCAGTTGATGGTAGGATAAAAAGGGGCCGAGCCTCATCATCTCATCCGTCATCACCATTTCGGATTCATTCTATCCCCCACAAAGGTTGTGGCAGAAAGATTAGAAACCTACCAAAGTTTTAAAGATCCGTTTGGAAGAGAAAGACTTTTCAATCACAAATCAACAGCCAAACCAAGGTCTGTTCTGGTCTGTCTGTCTTTCTTTTCTCTCCTCTCTCTCTTTTTTTTTTCATCCTTTCTTCTTCCTTAACATCCCTTTTAATCCCTTTTGCACCCCCAGAGGAAATAGAATCCAAGTTCCTTCTCCGTCCTTTTCTTTAGTATTCCTCCTTTTCATCTTTATGTGAAGAAAGCATGGATGGTAGCTAGTGGAATAATCCAAAAGTCATCCAATGCGATGCTTGTTTTGTAGACTTGGATAAATATATACTTTCATAAAGTGTGTGCAGAGAGAAGAGAAGAACATATTCACATCCTACCTATATATGCTAGTGGTTTATACTAGGAATCTCTAGTTTTAGTATTACTGTCTATTATGTGCGACAACAACATTGAAGATCAACAAACTGATCATTCTTCTCCTCAAACCATAACAAATAGTGCTATTCAGGGCTTCCAAGAAAAGTTACATCTTCAACCAAGCGGGCTAGAGATGCAGCAACACAACAGTACTGATGCATACTTGGCAGCTGCTGGTGGAGGAAGGTCATCAGGAGGAGGAGGACTGATGTTCCCAGAAGTATCACCAATCTTGCCATGGACAATCCCTCAAGTTCACAGCTTCAATCCAGTTCATCAGTTTCGCGATCACGACCCTTTTCTTCTCCCTCCACCACCATCACCCTACGGGGGTTTATTCAATAGGAGACCTCCTCCTCCTGGTCTGCAGTTTGCGTATGAGGGTTCATCATCAGACCATCTCAGGCTTATTTCTGACACCTGTTTAGGTCAAGTGGTTCAAGCTAGTTCAGCAGCTCCTTTTGGGCTTCAAGCTGAGTTGCAAAAAATGACTGCTCAAGAGATCATGGATGCTAAAGCTCTAGCTGCTTCCAAAAGTCATAGTGAAGCTGAGAGGAGACGAAGGGAAAGAATCAATAATCATCTTGCTAAGCTTCGCAGCTTGCTCCCTAATACCACCAAAGTATGCACCAACATTCCAACCAACTAACTAATCATAAGCACATTATTCTCATTCCTGCATGGTCTTTTTTGTGTTGCACATGTTTATTAATTCCTCCTTTTATGCTTTGAATTATCTTATTAAGATTCTCAGATTCAAAGATCTCTAAATAGATTTCCTGTGAGATTCTACTTAGATTTGTCAAAGTATGGAAGAGGAATTCTTCACGTTTAATAGAAGAAGAGTGAAGAATAAATTTAGGTACGGAAAGTGGCATACTAGCAGAATCGATATTAGATAATAGTCTGGTTGGTATACTTTATTTCTTTTGATATATCTGTGCAGCATTATTTTAAGGATCCATTCTTTCGAGCTGTGTGGTTATATTCTTCTGTTCTGATTGTTGTGGTAGTTCCAAGGTGGTAAGAAAAAAATGGAAAAGGGAAACAAGCGTTAATGTCGCATGGTTGATATGAAAAAGAGAAACCACGGTGCAGTTGAAAAGCTAAATTGGAAAATTCTTGCCGGATTTGCAGTTGATATAACTAGAGAGTTAAAAAGAAATAAAGACAACAAGGAAGCATTCATGTCAGTCTTATTTGCACACTATAAAGTATAAACTCCCCCATGCCTAGTCTCAATAAACCCCAGTCCACCCTTAAAATGATCAAAAAGTATCTACCTAAGAACCATTCTTCAACTACGCATCCCAACCCTCTCCTCTCTTCTTTCCACACATCTTGAAATATCTAGTTCGTCTTCTATGCATGTTCAGACTTGTTATCTTGATTTATATCCTTGCTTTACTATTAAAAGCATATACATTTACTAACTCGCTCATTTACTTTTTTGTGGTTAAGACGGATAAGGCATCATTGCTGGCTGAAGTAATACAACATGTGAAGGAGCTAAAGAGGCAGACTTCTTTGATAGCTGAATCAACACCAGTTCCAACTGAGATTGATGAGTTAACAGTTGATAATGCGTCTGATGAGGACGGTAAGTTGGTGATAAGAGCTTCATTGTGCTGCGAAGACAGGTCTGATCTCTTGCCTGATCTCATTAAGACATTAAAGAGTCTGAGGTTGAGAACACTGAAGGCTGAAATAACAACTCTTGGTGGTAGAGTTAAGAATGTTTTGTTCATCACTGGGGAGGATGATACAGACAGTGATGACCAGCAGCAGCAGCAGCAACAGTACTCTATCAGCTCAATACAGGAAGCCCTTAAAGCAGTTATGGAGAAAACCAACGGTGATGAGTCCGGTTCAGGGAATGTTAAGAGACAAAGAACCAACATAAATATCCTTGAACATAGGTCCCTTTAACTATATTAACATTATAATCAGTTTCTTCATCTTCTTGTGTGTTATTCTGTGTGCTTTTTGGTGTGTTTTTGTGGGGTTTTTTTTTTTCAACAATAATTAGTTTGTGCTGGTGTCCAACTATTAGCCATTCAGTATCATCAATACGTAGTATTACAACTTTACAAGGGGGTTTCTTCCCTAGTATTATTGTCGATCAAAATACACACAACTCTGATGGGGTTGAGTTTAGCACTACTACTGATATGATCGCACCCGATATGGAGTACACATTTCCACTGAGGAATATATATGAAAGTCTGAAACAGACAACGTGGGACTGTGGTTGGTGGGAGTTCCAAGTTTGTTGTGACTCGGATTGCTTGTGCTACTAGACAATGCCACAGAGAGAAAGAAAGATGGAGAGTGGGATAAGAAGGGAAGAAACAGCGAAGGATCTTTTTCGTGAGGAGAGAAACCTGATATAAAAACCTAAGAAAGAAATGTGGATTTTGATAGCTTTCTTTATCTCATTTGGGGGGGGGGGGGGGCAAAAGAAGAAGTCAGTGGTGAGTTTGTTTTCTAGCGACGAGATGCTTCTTGTCTCTTTTAACAATCTCTCTCTCTCGGCAGCATGTACATGACATAACAATCATAAGAAGAAGTGTCGAGACTTAATCTTCCAAGATAGGGCTTTAACTTCCATCCATATATAACAACTTTTCCTCCTGCATCTTCCCATTGGTACGATATGCTGATTTAGGCTTCCAGCTCCGGTGGTCCAACGAAGAGAAGAGACAGTTTTTACCAAAGCAAGCAAGTTTCAGAGCTATTCATCACTCACGAGACCTTGTGACGACTGAGTTCAGAAGAAAAATGTATATATCATGTTATATACTGGTGGCCTGATTCCTTGCCTGCCTTCTCTACTTGGTCTTCCTTGACTCCTTCTTTGCCTTAATTTACTTATTTCGGATTTGGGTCGTTGGTCATGGTCATGGCCTCATGGGGTGTTGTCTTTGTTAATTACTAGTGTCAAGGTTGATCATGATGTCGGTCATCTTCTCATATATATATGGATACATGTTTTCACTTGGGGTTTACTCTATATATTCACTACTAGTGGGTATATTTGGTTTCAAATTTCTAGTGCTCAACTTGCGCATTTCCAACTCTAATCATTGCCAGAGTTGCTATGCTATGCGCTGCCTCTAAATTTTGTGTATATTCATTCCTTCCCAAAAAAAAATTTATTTTTGTGTATATCATCCAGTAGTCTAAATTAGTAAACACGAGAGTAAAGCATACAGTTGCCACTCTTTCTCTGAAAAAGGGATCTTTGTTGTGAGTTTCAGTCAATTTTAGCTTATCAGTATCAATCTTTCCATTGCTTTTGTATATGGATCATGTTACACAAAGTACGCAGACAACATGAAGGAGATACCATATTTCATTAGATTTGTACCTAGCCAGAAACTATTAATACATAAATATGAAAACAACAAAATATATTAATATAACAGAGCGAGTAAATCAAATAGGAGTAATAGTTTTCGGGCCATCTGAGTTTTCCGGATTCTCCTCCAACAAAAACGTATCGAGACGGTATTGAAGTTGGCTGCACGAGAAAAAAAAAACAGACAAAGTTGTTTTCATGCTCAATGCTCATTCCCGTTTAATCAAATCAATATTGCTTGCACAACATTAATTTAACCGAAAAAAAAAGGATGTAAAATGGCCCATGCAGGTCTCGAACCTGCGACCTTCGCGTTATTAGCACGACGCTCTAACCAACTGAGCTAATAGGCCAACTGCATATTTAATCAGATTAATATTCCTTGCGGATCATTAATTTAACCCAAAAAAAAGATGAGAAATGGCCCATGCAGGTCTCAAACCTGCGACCTTCGCGTTATTAGCACGACGCTCTAACCAACTGAGTTAATAGGCCGCTGATGCAGATGTATAACAAGAGACAAAAGCGAGGTCAAATTGCACCAGCGTCCTTGAATAAGATGCTATGTCTCATCTTGTCCCTTCAAAAGATTTTTATTGAAATTTGTCCCACCGATTAGATGTCAAGTATGACATGTCACAAATGCTGGAATGGAAAATTGAAGCAATTTATATTTACCACCTATATGCCACACTGCTAAGCCTTCTAAGGTTTGGTGGTTTGGGAGGTCAAGGGTTCGATTCTTACCTCTCACAGAAAATTGTCATTATATGTGACGGTTTTCAGTGACCATCTTCGATGGAGTTTCTACTCACATCGAGTTCCCTTCCCCTCCCCCTAGATTAGACTAGATTAAGTTATAGGGATCCTATCGTTGTGACAAAAAAATATATATTTACCACCTATATAATTTATAATTCTCAAGAGGTCAAATCACTACAATTACACTCTGTTTGTTTCTTCTCTATTTTGCTTATACCTTATACTATTGACCCCCGTTCCACTTGTTGAAGCCTGAAGCCAAAAATCCTCCCCCTAAAGAGTCTTGCCAACTTTACACCTTTTTTTTTATAATAGAGAAAAATTTGAATGATTTCGAGTATATGAGTCAAAGTATACCTACCTTGCTATTTCTCAACCTAGATATTTTTCATGTTTCTCACTTTGCTTTCTAGCTTTCATCTTGTTATATTTTCCAATAACAAATAGCTACGGCACCATTTTATCTTTGTGGGGGCATCGAATCCTTCTCTCTCATCATTTTTTGGCCGTGAGGTGGGGGAGGGAAAGGGGATTTTTTCCCCGTTTTAGATGAGATGGGGACAAGAAAGGATACTTCCGTCACACCCAACATTCTGTACCTCACCATTGTAATAAATTAAAAAAGAGTATGTGTATATATGTATATGTTTGTGTATACTTATATGTGTATGTGTATGTATATAGACACATATATGTACATTATAACTACATATTAATAACAGAAGCATATACAAACATACATACATATATGCATACATATACATATATATATATATATATATATATATATATACACGCGCGCACACACACACTATATATATATTATGATTTGAGAACTAATCATAAGGATTTTTTTCCCCTTTTAAATGGGATAGGGACAAGAAAGGATACTTCCGTCACATCCAACATTCCATTCCTCACCATTGTAATAAACTAAAAAAGAGTATGTGTATATATGTATATGTGTGTATACATATACATATATATATATGTGTGTGTGTGTGTATGTATGTATATAGACACACATATGTACATTATAACTACATATTAATAACAGAGGCATATACAAACAAACATACATACATATACAAATATATATATAATTGCACGGGCACACACACACAAATATATATATATATATGTGTGTGTGTATATATATTATGATTTGAGAACTAAAATATCATAATTTTATGATAAAATGATGATTTGGTTATTTTTAGTTGAATTTTTTCACACGCTGTAAATTGTTTACCAAAGAAATAAAAACAAATATGACAGTTATAAACTTGGATTTGCTATTAAATGTGGAAAAATAAATTCAAAAGATCAAAATGATTTTTAAACTTGATTTCACATTGAATATTTAGCTAGCTAAATGTGTTTGGATAGAGTATTATTTGGAATATTTATTGTAGCACTTTTTGTGATGTGATGTATGTAAGATAAAAAAGTAATTGATAATATAAAAAGTGAATTGAAAATGTGTCTATGATGCAAGCGAAATATTATTTGGGATAAATTAGCAATCCAAACACAATGTAAAAGAACAATTTATAAAGTTGTTATTGTTTTATATATGTAAACAAATAATGTCAAAACAAAAAATAAAATTATGATTAGCCAACTGCGGAGACATGGAAGAGGACGAGCAAGGGGTAAAGGAAACGGGGGACAGGGGAAGAGTGGATAGGAATTTTAGAACATGAGGAAGGGGATGAGCCATCTTTAGAATTATAAAATATAAGTAATCTCTCAACTTTTTGTGTTGCTTAAATCACATCCCTTTGTTATTAAGGGGAAAAAAAATGGTGATTATGTCCTTGTGGACCAAATAGACGAAATCACCCTTCACTTGCAAACAAACGTTACATTTTCCGGCTAAAGATTCAATGGCGCTTTGGTCAGTCTAAAATTTTCCCGCAGCTAAACTAAACAACAACATTGGCGTGAAAAGTGAAAACCAAGTATCAAACAGCTGAACAAATCAATGAAAAAAAAAAATACAATACAAAAACCTCTGCAAAAGCAATCAAACGTTGTTGTTTACTGGTACTCTTTATTCTAGTTCCGCTGTTCAAATTGTCCGAAACTTCTCACCAAATCAGTTCCTTCTAATCGAGTCATTGGCTTGTAATTCTAGTACCATCCCGTTTCAAATTTACCTCACTAAAAAATTCCCTTTTATTTTTCTCTCTGCAATTCCCTTTCTTCACTCCTCTAATCGATTCTACAAACTGAATTATGAGTTGGAGAAGAGTTCTCAAGTCTTTGCAAGCAGTTTTAGCTCATGGGTTCCTCTTCACTTTCACTCTTCTTCTCGCTCTAAAGCTTGATCGAACGCTTCATCATTCTTGGTGGTTCGTTTTCTATTTTTAATTTATACGTTTCTACGTATATATGTGTCACGTACACAAAATGGGATTGGTGAAATTTGGGAAGGGTTATTCAGGGTTATCATTTTCATTACTTGGTTATTCAGCATTTGTCAATATTTTTCAAATTCTTGTTAATTGCAGTCTCAATATTGCTTAGCTGGAGATTGGTGTGAATTTGTGTTCTAGTTTAAATAATTAATCTTTCTGATGCCGGTCTTGATTTTTTCCTTTTCTTTTTTTAACAAATATTTACTCAAGCAAAAAAATTGTTAGTAGCAATAAGCTGTAGAAAAGGGTATATTAGTGTGAGGAGAACTGTCACATCCATTGAATTTTGGATAGTTTGAAAAGTATAGTTACCCAATATAAGAAAGTGGCTTGCTTTTGAACTTACCTTTTTATTGGATGTGTATGTTTAGGCACTTCAGATATTTTCTGAAAATTATAATTGATGAATTTATCTTCAATTTGGACCCAGTGATTTAAGAAATTAAGAGAGGAATTTGATGAATTATGGCTTTTGTTAAATCCTAAAAGCTACTGCTACTGATTGTAGTATGCTATTTTTTTCCCTCTCTCTCCGTCTGTCTGTCTTTGTGGATAATTCTCTTTTCATGCGTGGATTTGCGGCAAATTTAGGTTTGCCTGCTAGATATTTTACTTTGCTGCTTGGCTACTCTGCTTGTGATTTCTACATGAAAAAATAATAAAGTGGGAAACTTGGAGGATTTTGTTCACAGAGCAGAGCCGTATGATTATTTCTAGCAGTATTCCATTCCAGGAGGAAATTTAGAGATAAGATCAGATGATTGATACACTATTTCTTCGGTCATTGATTTGCCAAGCTGTCATGAATCAGAAAAAAAAAAAAGAATTGGTAGCTCCAATTTACATATAAGGACTAACAAAGTAAGAATAGAAGGTTGGGTTGATATTATTTTTGGGTGTGCATCTAGGGGTGCAATTAATCGCATGTATTGTTTCAAAATCTCTCCATCTTTTTGATATATTTTCTACAGTTCCATGAGCATTTGAAAGAATTTGATGTCCACATTTTGAGAAGATTCTGTGATTTTTAACTTTTGCAGGGTCATTTTTCTTCCTCTCTGGTTGTTTCATGTAGTAGTAGCAAGGGGTAGATTCTCTTTACCTGCTCCTTCGATGCCACATGATCGCCATGTATGGTACAATATGTCTGATGTATTTTATATGTCAACAGTTAGATAACTCTTATTAACTGTTCATTTCAAAGCCGTTTATCATGACATAAAGATGCACTCTTTGATGAGCAGTGGGCACCATTTCATGCTGTCATGGCGATACCATTGCTTGTTGCTTTTGAGCTACTTCTCTGTATATATCTCGAGAACCATGATGGTATACTGCCAAATCCCTTGACAAGAGTTATTGATGTTTTTTTATTTTAACAGCATGTTGTTCATTTTGCTGCACAATAAATTTCTTCTCTTTTTTTCTTTATTTTTATGGTATCATCTTCAAATTTGATTACCGTGTTTCTCTTTTTGTGCTCATGTGTATGGTTTTTCTGACAACATTTAGTATATGTACTTAGCATGTTTTAGAGTGTTATTTTTGCTCCTATGCAATGTTTATTGTCTATTTTTGGCTGGTTGCTTTTGTATTTACCTTCTCTGAAACTCTTCTAGTATCATACGTCCATTTGCTTCTTATTTAATATTCTACAGCACACTTGAAATATCATCTGCAGTTTCTGGGCTAATTGTCTTTTCTTTCTTTACTAACAAGTCTTGATCTCCGGAGACCCTTAAACTCATGAACACTGGTTAATTGCAGCTGTGAATCTGAAGATTGTATTTTTGCCCTTGCTAGCATTTGAAACAGCAATTTTGGTTGATAATGTTAGGTGAGATATCTTTCCTGCCAAGATATCTTCTTAGCTTGGAAGAAGTTTAGTTGCATATATCTCCTTTGTGTGTGTTTATATGTGTGGATGGGAAGTCGAAAATTCCATTAAAATGAAGGAAATAGTTATAGACTCACAATGTTGACCAAAAAAAACATGTTTTCAATGTTTTCAGTTCAATAAAGAAACTCAGTTATGAGAATTTCCACTTTGTAGTTGACTCTTGCAGACTTGGCTTTGAGCATTTTTAACACAACACCAAAGTTGTTTTTCAGGATGTGCAGGGCTTTAATGCCAGGGGAGGAGGAAAGCATGAGCGATGAAGCAATATGGGAAACCCTGCCTGTAAGTATCAAGTTTTATAACTTATGGTTTTAAATACTAAAGGTGGTATTATTGCCATTCATTGTCGGCAATCAGCTGACCTAGAAGTGGGATCATTTCCATTTTTGTTTTACTATACACTCTTTTGTTTACCCAAATCTCCTTCAAACATCTTTGGTAATATTTATGTGATATAATTGCATAGCTGTGGGAGGTTCTTGGTTTGTTACTTTGTTTCACTTGTATTTATGAAATCATGTGGATATTTTTTCAGACCTTCTAACCAAAATTTCTCTTTGTCTCAGCACTTTTGGGTGGCAATCTCCATGGTCTTTTTTATTGCTGCAACAATCTTCACTCTGTTGAAGCTGTGTGGTAATGTGTAAATTGCTTACTTTCTGGATTGATTGAAGTGTAATACTGATGTTAGATGACCTTAATTTGGATACTAACTCAAACATGTCTGTAAGCTTCTTGTTGCTGCACTAATTTATGGGAGGGTTTTCGCAGTTCAGACTGTTCAACTGTGATATAACCTGCCCCCTCTTTCAGGTGGGGAGTGAAAAGTGTATGTTTGTAGAAAGATCAGCAGTATGTTCAACAAAAAAAATGATTCATCACTTCCAACCTTAAATTGTTAAGATGTCTATTAACCAAAAGGGTTCAAATAGGTGACAGGCTAATATGGCTAAAGTACGATTCCTTGGTTTGTGAGAACCAAATGGTGTTCAGATGTAACACATTCAGTAAAATAGGCTATGAGCGAGGACCGAGCTAGGGTGGTTGTTGAGTCAATTCCAACCGTGTGATGGCAATTGCATGCATGTCAAGGGGTGAGGAGCCTAATCAATTGTCATATACTTTTATGCCTTTCTTGCTTTTTTAATTTGTGAAGTGGATGATTTTGGTTGGTTTGGGTATTAAACTGTTAAAGAAGACAAAACTATTTTTTTCAAAAACTCTTGAATTCAAACGGAGAATTTGTTTTTTTAGTTGTGCATTGACTTTCTAAGTAGGAATTCCAGACTTGTATTAACACTGATAAAAGAGTAAAATGCTCTCGATCGGATATATTGTTCATCAAATTTATGAAACTTGGTGCTTTACTGTATCATCAGTTGTTCTGGGATGTTCGGTGAAACATTTATTTCGTTTGAATTGTGATCTTATGCAGAGAAATTGTTACGATTTTCGTGAATATATTTCTTAATTACTTGTTTATCTTATATTCAACAAATTGTCACCGTACATTTTTTTCACAAAAATTCATAAAAATAACAATTCAAATGGGGTAATTATTATGTTTTGACACCTAGAATTGGTCTAATGTCTTGTGTGTTGACATTGCAGACCCCAACTCTGCTTTCCATGGTGGTTACTACGTGCGTCCATGTCACCTTGAAATAAAAGATGATTTGTCCTTGCATTTACTGTAAAATAATTCTCAAATCTAAATGCACGTAGGTTCTTTGAATTCAGCAGAAAATAAAGGTCAAATTTAATTAATATGTCATGAAACAGAATCTATTTATGATGGAAAACTTGAGTTATTTAGTATTAATTGAGAAACATGACCTTGTTTAAACGAACTAATTGAGAGTTTCTTGTTACTTCAAATAAACATCATAAATAATTCTTTGGGAAAATTTCAGAAACCCCCCTTGAGATTTTTAACAATTTCATTTAGCTCTCTCAAGATTTTAAAAATTACACATACCTCCCTTTTTATTTAAAATGACAATACTACCCTTAAATATTTTAATGAAATTTCCTTGTTTGATATGCTTATACTTAGAATGACTTTTAAAATTACTTTTCATTCTTTTTCCTTCTTATTCCTTTTTTTTTAAAATTTTTTGCCAATAAAATTATAGAACTAGAACTATTACATCTAGTTTCTATTGTAACTAAATGTCGAATGAGTGATTTTTTTTATGAGTTAACTTATATGTAATCCAATGTTTTGTTGATTTTTATATTTCTATTTTTGGTATTAAATTTAACAATAAATAAAAAAACTTGACCCAAAACCGCTACTAAATCATGATAATCCCACTACTTGAAAAATTTATAAACTCCAAATGAATTATTTCAACATTTTCTTTTATATCTCATAAATCTAAATCCATAATAAAATACCATCAAAAGTATCCTATCATAGTAATAAAATTTTTATTATTAAAGTTGTTTATCAAATAGTAGATATGGACATGAAAAATTTTGGCACCTTTTCCTTATAATTATATTAGATAATCTTATAATGGTATAGAAAAATAAATTAAAACTCATTACACAAGGACATTTTGGGGTATTCATTTAAAAATTTGACAAAGTCAATATTATTTTAAGATTTTCTTACTAAAACTATCAAATCAAAGGAGGTAGGTATAATTTTTCAAACCTGAGGGGAAGCTCAATGAAATTGTCAGCAAGCTCAAGAGAGGTTTCTGAAATTATCCCTAATTCTTTGTTGAGAGGATTATGTAGCTTTACAAATATGGGTGAAATTGTAGTAATTGATTAGCAAACTTAAATCGGTCTGCACCTCTCATGATTTGGATTAGATAGCTAATTATTATCTCTAATTCTGATTCAACACAAAGCAATTCATTAACATCTTGTGACTAACAACTTGCTAGCGTGTTGCCTGTTTCAGGATTTGAATCCTGGGACAAGCAACTGGGAGATTGGAGGGTGAAATAAAAATTTGTAACTTTAGCTTTTCTCATTCATCATGATGATGATACAGTACCTCTACTTTTAGCCTAGTTAGAGCAATTAATATAGGAATTCATGAATGTCTAAAGTTGCATGATTAAACACCATCAATTCGGTTTGGTCATTGTCAATCATAATCTAGAATCAGTATGAAGCTCAAGCACTCATTTCATTCAAGAATTAGCACTTAGCTACCATCTAATAAGGGGCCAAAGTGGCAAGCACTAATTAAAACTTTTAGATACTAAATTTAAGATGAAACCGTCAAAATCTGGGTATTTCAAAGGCGCAAAAAGTCATTAGGTCTCGTAAGAGTAAACAGCCACCTGCACCTGCTTTTGTATCCCTGTCCCCTTAGAATAATGATTTCCGTCTTCTCTTGGTCATAATTTAACATATTTTGCTTTGAACATTTAATCAATCAATTTATGCTAAAACTCACCTGGGAAGGACGACGGGACCAAAACTAGTGGATGAAAACGTGCCGCAGCGAGGCGCTTCTGCTGTCCATTGAAGGCCCAGCAACAAGCGTCCGGCTTGAAAGCGTGGAATTGGAGTTTGCGGCCGTCAGGACCGTCACGTTGGAGTCGGCTGTCGGCCATGGTTTAGTTTATATCCCATTGACCTCAAGAAAAGAAAGCGTGTGATGCAAACATCGCTTTTACAGATCGTGACTTCGTAAGCACAAGGCACGTAATTTTGCATGCTAGATGCTAAAGGGAAACCTTAACCGCAATTATAACAACAAAAAGCTAATAACTACAAGGATAAGGATCATAATACTTAATAATAACATACAGCAGGCATTCTTAGTGGGCAAAAATTTACGAGTTGGATTAGAAAATTAAAAATAAAAACAAAAGGCGCGCTTACCCTGTTTTTTTGTTTAATTTAAGAAGCGATGGAAAAATTTAGAATTCAGAATTGCTACATATTGAAATCTCAACCTTAATCACTGAACTAAACGTGAAAAAAATCTCCTCGGCTAAAAGTGTGCTTACCTCAGTTGATTTTGAATCAATTGTTGGTTAGGCTGTCAATTTTGATTACAAATTATTTATAGGCTTGTGTGGCCTAAAATTTTGTACGTTTGAGAGAGAAGTTTGCGTTACAGTTGAAAAGCAAGGCAGATCAATCACGCGGTAGTCTGAAAATTCATAAGCGACCCTTTGATTTTATTTTATTTTTTTTACATTTTTCTTCTTTTTAAAGAAAATAATTAGAAATTTGACTTCATTTTCACTTATTAGACCAGTAATTCATAATCTATTTCATATCCAACATGAAGATAACGCATTATTTACTAGGTTTAATTGTTGGGAAAAATGGTAATAAAAGAAGGGGCAATATCGCGGCGATTTCTTTTCTTTAGTAAAACCCAGATCATTGTGGCCAATGGGTATTGTTCTAGCTTTTAGGATGTTATTATTACAGAGAAAGTCTTGAAAGAAAAGCAAAAACTATTACTCCCAGAAAGGAGTATTTTCAGGATTGGTCTTTTCAATGTAAGATAAATCAGAGAAGTAATTAAACAACACAACTATGCAACCATTTTTTTATTTAAAAATAAATTTAACCTCATTTATTTCGTGACATCGATAAAGAATTTGTGGCTGCAAAATAACCACCACAACAATGACACTCAAATCCTCCAAACGCTCTCAGAAAAAAGGGAAAGAAACTATCGAATGGAAAATGGCAAAACTAATCAAACTTGTTGAGGTAGCGTTGACCGCTCGTAACTTACCTGCCACTACTGATTATTTTATTTGGGGGACCTACCTCACCGTCAACAATAACCAAATGAATGCTGCTCAATTTCTTCAATACCACTTTATACATCCACCATAACAAAGTGCAATACATTGCAATTGGTGGTTTATGCATTCCCAGCCAGCTCCCTTTTTCATGTTCGCTTTTCTCTCTTTTTTTTTTTCTCATTCAAATACCTGGATTACCTCATTCTTTTTTCATATATATATATATATATTGCTCTTTATTAATTTTAGTACCTAAAACGATAAAAAAATAAAATAAAAGGAAAAACCAACTGAAATGAGTCTAAATTAATAGTGTCTAATTGTTGAACTCAGAACTGCCTTATAATGTGCATTGAAGATTGAACAACGGCACGATAATATATTGAGCAATCCTCTAATGTGTATCGAATTTAATTAATGTGAAGACTTGGAAGGACAAATTATAGTCCTCGTTGAATATTGATCACTTTGTGGTGAACTTCTTGAAAAGGGCAACCAAAAAAAAAAAAAAAAAAATCTGGTTTATGTATATAGCCCAGCGAGAGACATGGCAGATTGTTTCAATATATAACATACAAATACAAAAAACAAGTAGTCCATCACGTGCATCTTACCCATTCCTTCATAGTAGTACTGTTCTTCAAAGAAAGCAAGCCAACTTCATTAATAATTCTAATTATGGAGTTAGCTAAGTATCAATTCATTCATTGTGCCGTGCCGTCACAGCTACTCATCAATTCGTTAATTGCAAAACAACAATACTGTGTCTGTGACCGAACAAAATGGAAAGGAAAACTTTGAAAAAACGAAAAAAAGAAAAAAGAAAAAAAAAGGAAAGGGACATTATGAAACATCATATCCCATTATCAAGCATGTTATTGATATTGATGGCCTAACATATAAAAATCAACCATATAAAACAAATTATATTTAATTGCTTGGATACATTTACATATTAAAGCTGACTAATTAAATCATCATATATCAAACCTATAGGAACTAACCATTTTTCTTGTATGATCGCTGCTGCCTTTTCTTT